TATTATTATTATTATTACTGTTATGATACAAACTACATAACTGATCTCAGACCAGTGCCTGTTCTTCAGGTGGAGATGTGATGGATCCTGCCTCAAACATGTCGAGTATGTATCTGATAGGTTTGCACACTAAGGATTTCAGCTGATAAGATAACTGATCATTTATATTTTAAAAAGAAGTTCATAACCTAGGGTATGACAGGCTGAGATGTAGTGAGCAAAAATGGGGGATTTAAATTTCATAGCTCTGTTTGAACTAAATCTAACTGACAAATAACATGTCTGACTCTTCAAATCTCCTTTTCATTTTTTAGTAAAGTTCATTAAAAAAACTTGCAAAAAGAAAATACATACTTTGGCTTTATTAGAACATTAAGTCTATCATCTTCTATCATCGTCTATATCTGTCCCGATAATTACTGTGCATCCCTATCAAATAAAAGATACTAAAAATAGCACAGAATGAATTTACAAGTTCGACGTCATACTTGTGTAACTGGCATAATACAGTGGTTCTCAACCCGGTAAGGGGAGACCACCAGTGATCCTTAAGGGGGTCCCCAGAAAAATGGGGAATATTTTAATTTCACTATTATTTCATTAAAAATAAGTTTCAATGACAGAATGTATAAGAGTGCTTCACACTGTTCACTGTTCATCTACCAATCTACAGTATAGACACGTATGGAATAAATCAGTCTTATTAGACAGGGATCCATGAGCCTACATCTCTGTGGCCTGATGTGCATCAATTTGGGGGTCGTAGACACCAAAATCGTTGAGAACCACTGGCATATTGGAGCATGATAGGTTCCAAACTAGATATTACTTCATTTTGAGTGTCCAGATGTTAAACTGAGATTTAAAATGAGCACAGAGAAACTTTCCTCCTCCAGCAGATGAATGTAAAAACTGCAAAGTGAAGCTCCAATGTGACAAAGTCAAGGAACAAAAAGAAAAACACATTTCTGAGTGAAGGGGAACTGTGGAGGTTAATTCAACTAGAATATTAATAGTAATAAAAAAACAAAAAAATAAAACTGATTCCTGGAAAGGTTGTGGTTTGTGCTGCAAACTGCAGTTTGTTACTCAGTATTCTAGTGAGCTGGAATCAGCTGCTGCACTCAGAGCTGCTGTCCACAGGGCTTATATTTAACAGCACATAGAACATACCTGCTTCATCATCACATCAGCAAACATATATTCCAGTATTCCCCAGCAGTATCTAACAATAATAGCTGGTGATATCACGCATTACATTAATTGGACCTGGATCAGGATAAGCGTCAGGATATGGAAGGCTTAACCAATTAAAAACTATTTATTCATTTAAGCTCAAGTAGCTTGTTTAATGACTACTGTTGCATTAATTATACAATTAGTTCTTATGGCCTGTACTATTTTAAATGTGGCTGTGTGTGTATTAGAGCTGCAATGATTAATCCATCAATAGGAAATTAATGAACTATTTCGTAAATTGGCTTCCAGCTGCCAGATGTGAATATTCAGTGGTTTTCTTAAAAAATGAGACAAAACAAAACATAACCATGGGCTCTGGAAAGCTTTATTTGCTATTTGCTGACATTCTTTGGACCAAATTATTTTTTGATTAAATGAATAATAATAAATAATAATAACTAACTTTGCAGCCCTAGTTTGTGTGTGTTTGCTCCCTCCCTCCCCATCTCTGGCAGCATTGATTGTTTCACATCAATAAAACATGTATGAAAACTAAATCCAATCCAGTCCAGGACTGTGAGTAACATTTTATATTTAATTAGATCAATTAATCTGGTGAACCATTAATTGAGCAATTAACTGATTAGTTGTTTGCAACTAAAATATCAGAAAATGGTGGAAAATGTTGATCAGTGTTTCCCAAAGCCCAAGCTGGCGTACTAAAATGTCTTTTGTCCACAGCCCAAAGATATTCAGTTTACTGTCATAGAGGAGCAGAAAATATTCACATTGGAGAAGCTGGAATCAGAGAATGTATGTATGTATGTATGTACTCAGTATGTGTGAGTTATTTGTAAGAGAGGCTGAGATGTAGTGTGCAAAGGTGGTAAATGGACTGTACTTGTATAGCGCCTTTCTACTCTTCCAACCACTTAAAGCGCTTTTACACTACATGCCACATTCAACCTTTCACACACATTGGCAGGAGCCGGGGATCGAATCAACAACCTACGGGTTAGTGGACGACGCGCTCTGCCTCTGAGCCACAGCTGGATGTTTTAATATTCCACCTAACCAAATCTAACTGAAATCACTTCACAACAACCAAAAAAAACCCACAGTTCTGACTCTTCAAATCTTCATGGTATTGTTTATCATTTATTAATGTTATTTTGTCATCAAAAAGCTTCACAAACACCCTTTGGCTTTCATAGAGAACGTTTTTTTCAACTGTTTTGCATAAGAGTTCAAAAGATTATTATTAGCAACCAATGATTTATATATACATAATACATCAAAAATACAAAATTGCCCATTATCAGCTGATGATTTACCTGCCCCAATATCTATTGCACATTCCTACTCAAAACTGGATAAATGGATTATCAATTAATCGCCTAATGGTTGCAGCTCTAGTCTGGTACAGCTCACACCGAGGTGCAGACACATGTCCGAACACTGGAAATAGAGGATCCACAGTGACCAGCACCAGCGTGGACTGAGGGGTTTTTCTTTTGATCCAAGAAATGTGTTTGGGAGAGGCAAACTGTGTGTATGTGTGAGTGTGTGGTCTCGGGGGTAGGATTTAACCAACCTGAAGCCTTCTTTCTGCGCTCTGCTTCTCTCTTTTCCTTTTTGGAAGGTGCTAAGCTCTCAGTCAGCATGGACGCTTGCTTCATATCATCTTCAGATATCAGAAACACTGGATTGTTCTTGACTTCCTGAAAGACACAATATGAAACACAGACATTGTTCTTTCAATGTCTTTAACACTTCATTTGGACATCCTATTACCTGCCTGTGCAGGGGAGTTTTCTGTGGAACTTTGTGACAAGAGGCTGTACCTTCTGAGCTTTCTGCTGCATGGCCTCATCAAATACAGAGAGGCAGTTGCTGATGAACTTCTCACTGACGACCACGGTGCCTCCCAGCACTCTGGCGGAGGACTGGACGTTAGTGTTTCTCATAGCCTGGTTGATCAAGATCCCAACATCCTCCATCGACAGGCAGCTGGGCAAAATCGGCTAAAGCAGCCAGGGTGAAAGCAAGAATGAAAAATGGAAGGAATTCATCATTTCCTTTTACAATAACTAGTAATCATGGAATGACAGAGCTGCAGGGTGGAGCTGTGTGAGCACCTGTATGTCAGTCCATGTGTCAGAGTTGACCGCTTCCTCCACAGAGGCCTCCACCTGGTCCACCAAAGCCTGACCCACACAGGCTGCTCTGAGGAACAGCAGCTTGTTGGACTTGAAGCGCTTCTTAATGTAGCTGGAGGGGTCAGGGATCCCCAATCTGACCAACGCATCGAACTCTGCAGGAGGAAGAGTTCAGCAGTACACACACACACACACCCACACACACACACACTGCTACTGTAACTGGACGCGTTCACACATACTGAGTAAACAATAGAGGCTGCTATTCACTGTGAAGGGAACCTGTGATTTGAGACTCCCTGCAGGGCGACCTGGAGCAGCTGAGAAACGTTTATACTTTATCAACTTTATACAAATTTCCTCCAACAGGAATAGGATTTAACTAATGAGCTACCTGGACTTGAAAACCGTTTGTGGAAACACATTGATTACTATGTTATGCACCAGTATAGTGTCAACAGGAGACAATAGCTGTCCAATGAGAGGCTACCTCCAGTCTGACTAACAACTTGCACCATATGCTACAGACTGCTACTAACCACCTGGGCCAATCTCATCACACAGCCAGATAGAACAGGTTGTGGCTTAAAGGAGAGCCTAGGAAAATGTATCTTATAGTGGCCAAAGCCCCTCAGTTCATCCTGTCTGAAACAAGCTGTTTTAGCTTCTGTCAGCCCACTTTCTTCTTCCACAAGCCTGCGAAGGGGGAGCAGCCAGTGCAAGTGAGCACCACAACTATTACTGATTACTGTACAAAACAGCTTTATTCACTGATTTTGTTGAAAGCAGGTTATATTTAATATAGTTTTGGAGTGTTTTGCCTTTATAGGAAACAACAGCTCAAGATTGACAGAAAAGATTCAAACCCATAGCCCCTGCAGCAAAGACTCAGCCTTGGTACATGGGGTGCCGGTCTACCAGGTGAATTATCAGGGCACTCTTGGATCATACTTTATATCGACAATATTTTCTGGTGTTCCCTCAGTACCTGCAGCACTTAGTGGTTAGTAAAGCCATCTGTCCATCAGGAAATCCTGTAACTTGAAATGTGTTCGTAAACGTCTGTGTAGAGTGTTTCTATAGCTCCCAGACCTGCTATATGGAGGACAATTGACAATGGCTATATATATCCAGACAGATCAGATAATCAAACGCTGAAGCTGATGTTGCTCACATCGACCTGTCTGTTGTCTGCTGCTGAAGAGGTGCATTTATGGATCTCAGACAACAGTAACATCAGCTCCTGTATTGTTTCCCTCAATGTGGTTTCTGTGGTTGCCATGGTCACACAGCAAGCTGTGATGGCAAGTTTAGAAAGTTCAACCATTAATAGCTGACAGCAGCAGCAAATAGCTGCGTGTGTCCATGAGAGCAACAACACAAATAAGCAGGGTTTGTTTTTTTTACTGGGTCTGAAGATGACCTGCTGGAAAACAGCAATGCATTCTGTGACCTTTTGGGGCTTTTTATACTTTGTGGTAACAGTTATTAATGGTAGGGGAAAAATAAATGGACTAAAAAGAAGAATTCCCTCAGGATAACACTATAAGGTAAGGTAAGGTTAAGATAATAAGGTACAAGGAAGGCTCAGAAAAACAGAAAGTAAAACAATGTTAATGTTAGATGCAGCTGTCCTGGGGTTGGTGCTCTATGGATGTATAGTTGTGTGTAGTGCAGAATGTACTAAAAAAACAAAAAGAAAGAAAACAGCAATGTAGCAGAAATATGCTGTTAATAAAAATAAGGTTAATGAACAAACCCATACCTAAATATCCGTTCTGCTGGAGGAAAGAGTCCACCCAGGTGTTCTGTGTTTTAGCGTAAATATCTGGGATGTACACAGCTTTGTCCTGCCGACCTCCAACCACGCTTCCTTTAAGACGTCCAGTGTTCACCAGCTCCTCCAGGACAGCTGGCAACAACAAAATCCATCACAGTATAAAACACAGTGGAACCATCTGAGGTAACTGTAACCGGTCAAACAAATAACTTTCTCCTTACAGTACAGAAGATGTTCCTGAAATCCAAACGCTCCAATCATGCTGCTGACAGGTGTCGGCCTACAGAAGAAAGTAAAACAGGAGGGCACTGAGCGTAAAACACTAAACAATACAAACATTTTCCTGTTCCTATCCTAGGTTTGCTCGTACGAGTGTTCCGAGTCAGTATAACCAAACTCTTAACTGAATTTAACTGATTGTAACATTTGAGCCTGATGAATGCTACCTGCATAAATCACAAATTGCCACAAATGCGTTTGTATGAGTTTCTTGAATGAAACCCGGTGTGAAACATCTTAACAATGTTTACCTCGTGATGGCGCTGAAAAGCCCTCGGATCCTGGCTTTATGACGAGCAACAAAAGCTGGAGTGAATATGACGCCCCTGTTGTACTGGTCCATCTCTCCTTGGATAAGCTTGCCGAGACGCTTCGACAGCTCCTGAAATACATTACAAAACATACATCATGTGTGTATCCACAGTGAAGTCAAACACAACATATAAAAAGCAGCTGAGGTCATTGCAGCCTGATGAGAGGAATCAATCATCTAAATCAAACAATAATAATTCCTGGTGAGGTGTAACTCACCTCGGACAAGAAGTCTCCTGGAAGGTCGTAGTTTTTACACAGTTCAGCAATACTGATCAAACCAGCCTCCTGCAGCTTGTCATTCACCTCCTCAGCCAAACGGTCCAGGTACGTGCTGCACACAAGACAACCAGCACAGTCCCACTCTTATAAAGAAATCATTTTCCAGGACATTTTCTTGACAATACAGGACAGCGCTTTCTCACAAACAGTCACATCCTTGTATTTCAACACTTTTCCCAGTTCTATTCCTCCTTGTTTAATGATGCAGGTTCATCACAGATCGGTGGTCAGCAGTTATGGGACACTCAACGACAGCTCGCTTTCTGCTGTTCTCACCACAGCCAGCGCTGCAGTGCTTTCACTACAGTTTTCCTCTAACCTAGGTTTACACATACGATCTGAGTGAGGAGATAAAATGCCATTCACATTTTTCCAGGATGTTTGGTCATTTTGATCAACGTTGGAAGACAATGCAGTTAGGTGAAAGCCAATCATTGTCATATTTTTGGGACTGTAATGTAATCTGTTCTTTTTGGCAGGACGTCCATAAGGTTATAGAGAGTGTACTTGATATTTAGATCCCATTTAGTTTTAATGTACTTTACCTAAGCCAATTACCTGAAAACATGACTTTAGTAAGACATAAATATTTGCTATATAAAATGAATGGACTAAAAAAACACCCTCCCTACCATTGTCATCTAAAGGAAATCAATGAATGTGGTGGAGTTTTTTGTTCTTTAAACAAGGCTGTCCCCAATATCTTTGTACCATTTCTTTTTGTTTGTCTGGAAACTGTACTATGGACAGACAGATGGACAAACTGACTGCCATGGCAGGATTCCCTCTAGTGTGAAGAAATCATTTTCCAGGACCTTTCCAGGAAGTTTTTCTTGACAATATACAGGACAGCGTGTCATATGAGCTGCAGTTTCAGACAAGCTGACCACCGCCCATAAGTAACAGTTCAAACCAAGTAGAATTTATTTTATTTTACAGAAAATTCTTCTTCTAGAAAATTAAAGTGTTCACTGTGATAACAACCACAGCAACAAGAAAATGAATGCTGTATGCATGTAAATGAGAATTTTGCAGCTGGAGAAAAAAAACTGATTGCTGAAAAGTCATTCAGTTCATCGTACCGGTTTCAAAGTTAATACGCACCAAGGTTTACATAGGCATCTGAGTGAGGGGCTAAATACAAACAATTCCAAGACAACTTTACTTTACTTTATTTCCAGGATATTTGGTCATTTGAATACATTTCCAGGTGTTTTCATGACTGAAAAACCTGGTCTCTAAATTCCGGGTTTTCCATGATGTGTGGGAACCCTGCTTGGTGTGCAAAAAGTGTAACTTAATACTCACTCATCAATGAGTTGTCCCAGGACAAGTTGGACCCCTTTATCAGACTTTGCAATGTCACTTGCTCTATTTTCAACGTGGACCCAATCCACATTGATGATCTGAAAGAAAGAAGATCAAGATACAATTCATAGCAAGTTTTAACAGATAGAATAATTCTGTGCTCGGCTTGCTAGTGGCTGCCATCACACAGGCTCAAAGCAATAGTTACACACCTGCTGGAGGTCCACAATGTTGATTCTCCCTGTGAAACAGAATAACAGGATTTATTCACTGTTATCAGGTCCAACTCTCAATATGCTACGGCTGATATTCAGTTTTACTGAGACTGACTACAGTGAGTTCAGGAAAAGTGATTAAAGCTGCAATAGGGCCTTTTTATTTGAAAAAAGTTGTCACATTTGCTGACACTTTCACTATACCCTGACAGTAGAGACAGAGGGTTCCAACCCAAAGAGTCTTTATATCTCTCTCGGCTCTGATTGCTTGTTTTTGTTCAGGCCTGGTGGATTCTTGTAAACGCCATTAGGAGCACCAGGAGGATTCAGAGAAACCAGATTTGAAAGCAAATATGACAAACAGTTATTTTAATAAAAGTTACCGACTGCAGCTTTAAATCCCACTGAACGTAAATGGATGCTATAACGTTATATCTCTTTTACGGAATGAGACAGGTGTTTTTTTAGCCTGCTCAGCAGCTGACAGTATCACATCTGGAGGCGGTGTTCCACGGTCTACTGGCCGTTACACTGACCTCCGTGGACGTAGAGCTCATCTCGGATCTCTCTGCTGATTTGTGCCGGAGTGATGTACTCCTTCCCGTCCAGCGTGTGCAACACATCCAGCTTCTTGTCCTGGACCAGTTTGGAAATTATTTCAATGCAGTTCCTCTCCGACAGCCTATGGAAAGGGTAACAAAAGTGTCATTAGTGGCGTTTCCACACTAGTTATAGACGTATGTTTCCAGCTGCTAACGGAGAGGACCCAACCAGCAGCGTCACTTTCAAATGAGAGTTTAATGTTCGCTAACATTAGCTTTGCTGCTGGCAGCTGCTAGCAGCGTAAGGTGCGGTTACCTCTGCACTGTGTCAGCGAACTGTGCCCGCTGGAAGTCAGCGGCAAGCCGTCGAATTTCCTCCCAGTCGGCCGCCATTGTTAAAGGTTTGTGTGTTTGCACAAACAGCCCGCTGTCAGTAACTTGGTGAAGCGGCTGTTCTGCTGTCTGGCTAACGACACAGCAGCTCTCTGTAGCCACACGTCAACATACAGTGACGTACAACAGAGAGCCACAAGGACCAAACTTCCTCCGAGCTTTCGCGAACCGAAATGTTACTATGGCTCAAAATATGATGCCTTTGAATTTCTGAGGTTCTGGGTCCTTCAGGTGATTTTACATAATCCACATTAGAGGACAGGAGACTGGAGGTGGAGACCAGCAGTTCAGCTATCTCTATACTGAACCTGGATCAGCCATTACATCTCTATTAGTATTATTATAAAGGCATATAAGACAATGTTGTTTATTTCATTGTATTTATTTGTATTGTTTATTTGAATCGATGAATAAACAAATCATTCTGAATGACTAATTATTTCAGAACAATGAATAGAATAGAGATGAATAGAACGCTGTGGACCCTGTCTGAGGGTCTGAGGCTTGCTGAATCAGTGACAGCTTTTAAATAACTTCTTAAAACATATCTCTTTAAAAAAAGCCTTTTATTTATTCTAGCATGCTGCTTAATGTCTAATATTTTATTAGTATTATTGTTCTTATCATATATTAGCTGTGGATATTTTATTCTTTAATTTATATATTTTTACTTGTTTATCATTATTTGTCCCAGTGTAGTTAATTTAATTTAATTTAATATGTTTTATCTGTTTTATTATTTTATTCTACCTCACTTCTATATGATTTTAATTGTTCTGATTTTATTCTTGCCCTGT